AGCTTTTTTCTCCCCTTAACAAGCACCCCTTAAATGCAGAGAAAGAAAAACCTTTTTACTTCTGATTTCGTTTTAGATTATATTACACAATATATCATTGTGACTGACAGTAGTTAACATTTAGATATTGTTGACCTATGTGATGTGTCAGGTTTCAAAACACTCCTAAAGAAAGCTTGAAAATACTTCTACATAGTCAATGCAACCCAAGGAGTCAATCTGCCCAGTGAATAAATATGGTATTAGCTAATGCTCTAAATTAACATGCATTACATTTCCTGGGATGGTTGTTTGAAACATAAGTCTTCCTGGCTGGCAGACAATATTAATAACCCAAATTTTCAACCAAGTTATAAGTCTTTCAGTGGTTTACTTGAATTACATTCTATAGACCTAAATACAGAAGTTTAACTATTTTTTAGGATCAAACCATTATAATTCCAAATGCCACAGATTTTCACATAATATGGGTGGTGACCATAAGAATGAGCTAACCCTCTTTGTAATCCGTTTTCAAGGTATAAAGTTGCACATCGGGTATAAATAACATGAGATCATAGGTCTAGCATAGGTTTTTACATTCCCTAGCCTCTGTTCTTACCTCTGTGGTTAATAAATTAAAATTCAAGTTTTCTTGAAAACTTTTATTTAAACATTTGCAGTTTCCTAGGTATAAATTTCTTTTACAGAAATGCACATACACATAAAATCAGTCATCTTGAAATTCGGGACTACTGTGGAATGTAAAATCTGATTACACAACAGAGAAGGTAAAATGCCAAGTCATATTAGCTCCACGAAGAGCTTTGTGGAAATAAAATCTTTCTCTATATTAGCACCACGACAATGTTTCTGCTATTGGAAAAAGAGCTACGCATGTGAAGGAACAAGGAAAGGAGGAGAGATGAACAAGGGAAGCATCAAAAGATGTCAGGAAAACAGAAAATTCAAACTCCTGATAAATTACTGGATGCTGAAAGGAAAGAGGCCTAAGTACATAAAAACTTTGGTGGGAAGGGTGGTGGTAGAACAAATAAAGAAGTCTTTCCATTTCATTATTTACAGTGTTACCCAGGTATTACCTGCAGGTAAGTAAATCCTGCCCATAAAAAAACCAAAACCAAACAAAAAATCCACCACAAACAAAAAAACCACCACACCCCAGGAACTCAAAAAGAACACAGATAACAGCAATCCAATTTATGTAGTCTACTGGGATTTCAGAGTAATTTCTGAAGAAGTCATTCAACAAAAGCTTTTAACTAAGCAGTGATGAGGTAAGATGGAAGGTCCAGGCACAGACAAACAGGCAATCAAAAAGAAAAACAGGGCAGGAGCAAACCATCTGTTCCAGCCTGAAGGGAGGTTACTGCAAATTCATGAAGTCTGTGCTGGTAAGCAAAATTCAGAAGTGATCTAGAAAAGAGTGCAAGCAGCAAGATGACCAAGTTTGCTCAGTACAGAGAGAGGCAATGTAGTAAAAACAAGAGGTGGCAAAGATGAACTGACAGAAAGATCATATGGAACTGAGTGACTATGTAATAAGAAAGCTAAATTCAACACAGATAAGCATACAGTGAGGTACATGGTGGAAAGCAACCCTAAGATTTATGGACAATGACAGGCACCAAGCTAATGAGTATTATTCAAAACTTTGAATTTATGACAGATAGTTCCATGAAAGTATTAGTTCAATACATGAAATAGTTAAAAGCAGAATAAAATAATTAAGAAAGGAAGACAGAATGAAACAGAAAACATTACTATAGAATCATAGGATAATTCAGCTCAGAAGGGACTGATGGAAGTCTCTTGTCAAACCTCCTGCTCAAAGCAGGAGGTCACCTGTGAGATCAGACCAGGCTGCTCAGGGCTTTTTCCAGGCACGTCTTAGAAGCCTTCAAGGTTTGACAGAGCCTGCACAGCCTCCCTGGGCAACCTCCACTGCCTGCCTGCCCTCATGGGAAAAATGCTGCTTATATCCAGGCTGAATCTCTCTTATCTCAACTTACTCCCATTGCCTCTTCTCATCCCCCCAATATGCACTGCTGTGAAAAGCCTGGCTCCATCTTCTCAAAGGTCAGCTAATGCAGACCATCCCATAGCTTCCCAGGTTGACTTTTTGGCCTGCCTGCAATTAATCAGAAACCTCTTTGATTCTCCATGACCTTCCAAAGATGATAGAGAGTGGCCTTGCTAAGACTTCCCCCCGTTCTCTCAGCACCACTGGATGCAGCTTAGTGGGTCCTGTGGACTTACACGGGTGAAGTTTCCTCGAGTAATCTCTGACTCAATCCTTAACCACTGCTCAGGGTTCCTCTCCCCCAACTAAGCACAGTGGTCAGGGAGACCTCATCGGTGAAGACTGAGGCAAAGCAAGGCACTGAGTACCTCAGCCTTATTTAAGCCTGCTGTCAATAAATCACCTGCTCTTTTCAGCAACAGAACGGTGTTCTCCTTGCTCAGCCTTTTATGATTAGTGTAGCATCAAAACCTCCTCTTGTTACCCTAGATGTCCCTTGAGGCATCAACTCTAGGTTAGCTTCCACTTTCCTAAGACCATCCCTTCATGCCTGGGCAACATGTCCAAACTCATCCTCAGTAGCCCATCTCTACTTCCAGATCCTGCACACTGCCTGCTTGCACTGGAGCTTGACCATAAGTTCCCTGAGCAGCAGAATGGACCCTTCTTGCAATTAGAGGATGCTGCCAGCTTTCCTGAGCCCCTCTGCCCTTTAGAGCTGCCTCCTATGGGATCCCAGATACCAACTTCCTGAAGAAGCCAAAGTCTGCTCTCCTGAACTCTAGGGTCTGTACCCTGCTACTCCTTCCTCACTCCCATCAGGATCTTGAACTCCACTATTTCATGGTCACTGCAGTCAAGAGTACCCACATTACTACATCTCTGAACAGTTCTTCCATTTTAGGGAACAGCAGATCCAGCTGTGTATCACCCCTAGTTGGCCCATAGTACTTGTATCAAGAAGTTGTCTCTGATACTCTCCAGAAATCTGATTTGCTTGTGTCCTGCTGTGTTGGACTTCCAGCAGGTGTCAGGATGTTTAATAAAGTTCCCCACGGGAACCATAAACCATGATTCAGAGACTTCCTTGCCTTTAAAGAAAGCTTTGTCCGTATCCTCATCCTGAGGAGGGTGGTCTGTAACAGACTAACCAGGGTGGTACCAGCCTCTCCTCTGATCCTGACCCACAAACTCTCATCTTAAACTGTCTTGCCCCACACAAGTACTGCATACGTTTGAGCTGCTCCTTCACAAGGAAGGCAACGCCCTTCCTTGTCATCCCTACTTGTCTTTCCTGAAGAGCCTGTATCTGTCCATCATACCACCTCACAAATTCATAGCCCACTCACACCTTGAGAATTTTCCTGGTCCCCCAACTAAAATGCTACTAGAGCTAGAAAAGATCTGGAGAACAGCAACAAGGTGGATCAGAGGTTAGAACAAATTTTATATAGGCAACAACTCAGCAGTCAGCTTGGAAAGAGACCACTGACCTGTTGAGACTATGACAGCAGTCCACAGAACTGTAACGGCAATCAATTTTTAACTGTCTTGTCCACCAGGAGACATGGAAGCCACCAAAGCTAGTGGCAGCCACGTTCAAAAAACAAACAAAAACAAGGCGGTTCTTTATGCAATAGGGAGCACAACTATGGAATTCCTACCCAAAAGACCCTATGGGTGCAAAAAGTTTGCAAGGTTCAAAGGAGACAAGTACATAAAAGAGAGGTCCACTGGGGATTACCAACTAAACAATCTGCAAAGGATCAAGAAAATCCCCCAAGATGAAAGCAGTTGGAGGCTTGGGAGTGTTTTAACAAAGCAGTATCACGCACACTGTACTCCTCTGTAAGCACCCATTTGCAGAAATTGCTAGGCAGAACACTGATCTAAATGGAGTCAGCCTGAAGTACAACAGCCATCACTATGAAAGTAACAATACTTGTTTATCTGAAGTGCTTCAGCCTGACAGTAATTTGTTAAAAATGGGTATTAAATATTTTATTTGCTTCCTCTCAAAATGTCAGACTATGAAAAGTTACAATATGCTGAATTCACTTCTTGTAGACTAAAAATAAATTTCCCCCATTGTATTCCAGTTTCACCCACAGTATTCTGAGTTTGAATGCTTATGAATATATCTACAGATTATTTACAGAAACATATACAGATTTAGCAATCACTTCTAAAAAAATCTCTTAAAAGATGGATTCATAAAGTTTATGTACAATGAATTATTGATATTAGAACATTATATTTCACTAGACAAGTTGCAGTACCTGTACTCATTTCCCTATTGACCTTATCTTTAAAAAAAAAGGTAGCTTTTAATTCAGCTAAATATACACCAAAAACAGACTAAGGACACACATATTGGCTGTATTAGGTAAAACAACCCAAAACAGACACAATTGCATCCAGATCAAACCTTCACTTTTCTCCTTCTCAAGTTTCCTTCTCTATCAGTTATTCCTTCTTTTACCCTACTCAACTACCTATTTCCTTGTAGCTATTCTAGTAAGCACTCCATGACTGAGGGTGTCTCATTTCCTCTACCTACCTCCATTGTCAGCCACCCCCCTTCAGTCATTTGCATGCGTTCCTTTTTATATTAAAAGTCTGTTCTTCATCTGTAATCCAATTTTCACATGTTTTTAGGCATCCACAATTGTCATTGATGTCAGCATGAGCTGCAGACACCCAGGATCTTCAGAGACTCAACTCCTTGTCTTACAACTTTTTAATAAGAAACATTTTGAAGCTTCACTTAGTTATGCTACAGTACTTTCTACACTTCAGACTTATGGCTGAACGTGTTAAGAGATGCAATAAATAAGTAATGCTCAAAAACATATCATGCAGTGGCCTAAACTTCCCAGGAAACCAGATATCTTGAGTTATCCACTTAAAATAAGATAACTCGCCTCACATTAAATACAATGAATAGTATACACAGCTAATCGAAGAGGGTGCTTACCTGAATGACAGCACTAAACCAGCAGGTGTTGCCAACATTCTTTAATCCTACTGGACAGTTGTCTTGCCGCTTTCGATCATAAGGGTTTGGAGAGTCACTCCATACCTCTGGATGTGTCCTCTTTAAACTTGCTTTATTTTCTGCAATACTGGCTTCTAGAACTCTTCGGGAACAGAAGGGAGGGAAAAATGTGAGAAAAAGCAAAAAAAAAAAAGACATAGTAAACCACCTTCAGTTACTAATACAGACATCTTAATTACATCATTCACTAACATTGTTACTGAACTTGGTTTTAAATTTATATGCAATAATATGTCTTCAAAAGTAAGATGCTATTTTACTTTTAGATATGTTACAGTAATTCCACTACCTTTTGGAAAATGGTATCAGTGAGTAAGTGAATCTCCTGTGAGAGCTCTAGATACAAGAGCCATGTCTGTAAGTCATCAATTATTTAAGAACTAGATTCAAATAGGACGGACAACAAGGAATTTTAGGCAGCGCTATTAGTATAGTGCTTTCATCTGCAAGTGCTTTTATTGGTATGCAAAGCACAAAGTCACCAATATTTATTTTACTGACAGGAAACTGAAGCTAGCTAGGCAACTTTCACAAATGGAAGACGCTTTTTTAGTTTCCATTTTTGTAACTTATGCAACTGTATTTATCGCTTTACATAGCAAGTAATTACTTTATGAGCCACGGAAAGACATCTCCCCACAATTTTTCAAATGCCAGCCAACAAGTTAATTGTACGTTTCAATGACCACACTCTTTTGCAGGAAACTGCTCCTACGTGATTTATGCTGAATGTCTGTATTTCACATGACAGTAAGATCTGATGTGTGTTATGCTCCCAAACTCAAGCTTCACTCAACACAGTATTTCTGCATCAGCACATATCCTTAGCCCGGTGACAAAGAACACCTTAAAGGTAATTTGTGGTAGCCACAAATTCTAAATAGAAAGATGGGGATGGATACACTCAGGTCATATAACAATGGCTCTAACCAATCAGCAAAGATGCCTGGCGTGTGCACTACTGACACAGTTACTATCCCCAACCGTCTAGTCCAACTATCACACAAAGGGCTGAGCTGCTATTGAACTACTACATTCGCCAAGCACAGGACTTCAGGAGCTGCATAACAAGCATTGAAGTAATCTGTGTGTCCTGAAGGGTTGCCCCCTTCTGTTCTAGACTCACTAAACATCAAAAGAAAGGCAGGTCTAAGGCTGGTCTGCAAATGTAGTTACTAAAGGACAAAGTTTAAACACCTTTGAAAAAAAAACCAAAGAAACAGGGGCGGGGTGGAGGGACACCACAAAAAACAACTACACAATGTAATCCCTCAGTTTCCTAACTGTAAATTTTTGTTTCAAGCTATGCTCTTGTCAAAGTAAGAAAAGGTATCTTACAAGATATACAAGAACTATGAAACGTATGAATTTACTGCAGGTAACTGCTTTGGGGGACATACTAATTTGTTATTGCTACTTATTGGGGGGGGGGGGAAGGAGTTTTTTTTATGCAGAATTTGAGAGCCCATTTGGTATAAATACCACTTTTGCATCAATACGTCTCAGGAAGAACCTAAAACTTGTCATTTCCTAAGGATTAATCAATTTCTGACATTTAGGTTTTGACATATTACCCCATAAACAGCACATCTTTTTTCAAAAGACACTGAAAGGACAGCTATATAATCCTCTAAGACTTTCTGCTCGGACATCTCTTCAAACAATGCACAGGGATGGAACCCGATTCTTCAGTGGTAAAAGACTCTTACACTAGCAATGATAACGTTATCTCCTAAGCAAACCCCAAAATGTAAAGAACCAGTCAAATTCATTTCCCTTCTCACTGATACAATCCTTCAAAAATGTTAGCTGACCAGTGTATCTCTGCTTTGAAAGTAAAAGTTATTTGATGGGGACATTAAAAATTAATTCAAAACAAACGTCATACATATTTCAAATAATTTCTCATTCAGGTAGAATTATCTGAACTCTTGTTTAAACTAAACTGAAAGGACCTTTAAAACTGAAGGGACTCTGGCAGACTGGAATAAATTTAGCATGATGTTGTAACAGGACTACAATACCTACTCCATACCACTTTTGTTTCAAGGAAACAATCAAACTTACCCCCCCCCCAAGCTCAAGAACATTTCAAGGTATTTCAAGATTCAAGTTCAGAAAAATATATATTCTCAAACTGAAATAGTTCCCTGACCCCAAGGGTATTACCATTTATCAACTTAATTACCTGCTAAAACTTCTTCCTTGTGTTTGTTTTTGTATTTCTTTAGCAGGTGAGGAATTTCCTCATCTCTAGCTCCACCTCAAATCTGTTTCCATCAAGGTAAAGTATTTGATTCTCAAAGCTTCATTATATTTTTCCTTATTTTTACTTATAACATTATCTGTACTCAGAGAGCACATGCAATAGCTGCACACCCTATGTGCCAAATTCTTTTTCAGCCATAATGATAGCTGTGATGCAAACTGAAATAAAAGTGAGCACAGTGAACAGGAACCTAACGATCAGCTCAAAACCTACACAAATAAATGTATTTAACAGCATAGTGAGTATATCTCTTATACTATAACGTTCACTACATTATATTCATACAGTCCTGGTTTGGGAGACTACCTTTACAAAGCATCTTACTCACACATTACTCTCAACAAAACAAGCATCTTTCCAGAAAGTTAGTACAAGGATTTAGCAATCACACAGCCGAAACACCCTCTTTGTGACCCTTAGAGACCACAGAGGCAGTCGCTAGCAGCAGAGCCATAAGCTACGTGCAGGGTATGGCATGTCTCTAGCCTCACGGGACCAAAGGCTTCCCCACCTCCAAACGCTGGAATCTTGTTTGGAGGGAAACTCTGGAGTGAGGGTTAGTTAACGCCAGGCATGGCATGGGGCTTAAAAGCAGTGTTTTATTTCTCTCTGTAACAAGCTGGGCACAGCCAAGCAGCTTTGCAGAGCTGCTTGCACGGGGCTCGCCAGACAATGCAGTAAGCCTCGGGCAAAGCGAGTCCAAAGCGAGTCCACAGCACAAAAGTTCAACCAAACCATTTTGAGGAAGCCCACTAAACACGCTGCAGAAAAGCCCACTCCAGCAGGCTACTCAGCTAAAAGAACAAGGAAAGGTCTTTATGCTGTGACTGTCTTACAGCTGGACATCCAGCAATATCCCCAACACTACATCCCTCCCCAGTTTCACCTTTGATCTATACACACAATGCTTAACCACAGCGCAGAGTCCCCAGCAGTTTCAATGACCATGTTAAAAAAAAAAGTGCCTAGGGGCTGTGCACATCCTTATGCACTTACAGTATGGGCTCTCTTTTTAATATGGCTACTATCCTAGGCACAACACAGGCCAGCTAATTTCTCTTTTCAGCCATATCTTAGTCACTTCCCCAGTGAAGCCCTATCTGGCTAGCCTCATTCTCCTTCAGTCCATGAAAAGTAATATAAACAGGAGAAACTTTTTCATATTAGGAAATAGACTGATCATGCACATTTCCCTGGGAGATTTAAAGAGGGAATAGTAAAAAACTTTAAACGTGCCATGTACAAGATGTTCAGCTTGGACACTTGGACATTTCAGCTGCACTCTTCTCAACACCTACATAGTAATCAGATCCGTCCTCATTAAGTAGCACAAGGCAATTACATTCAGGAAGACAAATTCTACGTGCCTTACAACATTAATTGCACAACTGAAGAAATTCCATTAATGCTCCCTTGGAAACCTTAACAAAATCAGCGCAAATTAGGTTCCAAACCACTATGAATACTTTTGAAAAAAATATCCTCCACACCAAAGACTATTTAAATATGCACACATACTACATTATTAAAAATGAAAGATTTCCATAGCTTAATTTGCTTATTTACTTCCTATTTGATTTCTGCTTCTTACTTAACCTAGAAAAAACAAAAGTAAATGGCTGCAGCATGACTTGTTAACAACCACAGCGTTCTACTTTTTGTTTTGAGAAGTCCTGCACAGATACTGTGCTTTCTATTGGAATGCCAACATTCTTCTGTGGGGTGTGAACTAAAAACTGATTTTTTTTTTTTTTTATTTAAAAAAAAAAAAACAACCACAAAACCAAAAACTGGTCTGAAGTCCTGTCCGAAAGGAAACTGAACAGTTCAGATCAAGAATTCAGAACTTCCTGTATTTGTACAGCTCTGACATAATTTGCCATCAACTCAGGGTGTATGTAACCGAGTTGATTTAATACCCCCAATGCTGCCAAAACCCCGAAGATTCTCACTCTTCTCTGCCTCCATTCACAAGCAAAATCCCATTTCCCTTTCTTGTGCCATGACACACTCTTAGTGAGTATTTTTGTATGGTCTTGGGAGATGAATTCATGCAACAAATGCTCCGAAGAATACTACGGCAAGTATAGAAGATGTGGTACAGTGTGCAGGCCATATCCCCCTTGGTAGCCACAAGCTCTTAATTTGGCACATGCTATTGTCCGTAATTTCGCCCTCAAATATACGTCTCTCTTTCATCAGAAGACCAACATTTTTCTCTGTATGTAACTGAACAGATTGCCTACATGCCTTTGTACATACAGGAAAAAAAGTGGCATACTTTGTTATTTTCTGCAACCAGAAAAAAATAGACCATAATTTAAGTAGTATGTATTTATAATACTTAGTTATGGGCTAAGCAGATAAGACCAAAAAGGGCTTTTTAATCTGAGAAGTGAAAAAACAAAGTCTACAGGAAAAAACCTGAAGCTTCGAGGCTCCAAGAAGTGAGCACAGCAGAAGCAGCCAAACTTGGGGAAGAAAAAAAAAGGAAAAAAACATTTCCATATCCAGAAATAGGTCCACCTTTCTGACTGTCTGCCTAAATCACAACTCTAATTATGACAATTCTGTCCTTCAAAAAGGAACATGCAAGAGCTGAACTTCTGAATCAGAACTGGACAGAACTCCCACCATAATCTTGTATACATGCACATACTGAGGTCTTAGGGAAAAAAACAAACAAACCCAAACCTTAACATCCTCTTCCAATTATTAATGATAATACAAATCCCCCTCATCCCATCTTTCTCTCCTAAAAGATGTTATCTTGAAGCCATATAACAAGATGGCTTTTATCACAAATGGGAGGAGGGAGGGAAGGGTATGTTTATTCTCACAATTAGTACATTTATTTTTCAAAAGGAAAAAGAAAGTGACCGTGGATAAAGTAACACTCTTCATATTCTCAGAGTTGGACTATTCTGATAAGTCATTTAGTCTGTCAAATACAGTGAACTGAGGAAAAGAATTATTGTGGTGAATCTCCCCCATCTAAATCAATTTTTATAAAATTAGTCTTTTACAAGGAGGCAGTACTTAACCTTCTAACACAAGGATCAAATCATTGCCCTTCTCCCCTAGAACAAGGCCAGCCACAGATGAAAAAAACCAACATCCCTCCCAAGGCCAGCGACAGATGAAAAAAACCAACACCCCTCCCACACAACCCTACATCCAGGCTTAGTTCAAGTCCAGAGTATTTCATAGTTATATCTATATTTACATAGAAACACACACACTGTACAAGAAGTTATTATAAAACCTGATCAAAAGTTAACTTATCACGCCCAAGTTGAGAAAGTTAAGTTCATAAAACTTTAAACCAAGAAGTTAACTTCACTCAAAGCTTATAAATCCTATTTGTTAAATAGGTTAATAACATATTTTATCAGCTAATACACAGCAGCTGCTCTTAGTATACTCAAGTCATAGCATTACTATCCCCTCCCTCAAACTCAGCCATAGCACAGAGGTAAGAAAATGTTACTGTAAAATAAACACTGCAAAAAACAGGACAAAGAATTTTTTAGCTGCTTAATTATATTTTGTTTTCATTGCTTTTTACCTGATACACAAGAGAAACTTAGTTTTAGATCCTATTTAAATATGACCGTATATCCTCTATCTCCATCCACTTCCTCAATATTTAAACAAATACATCAACATGACACATACTATTAAATCCTAGTCCACACATAATAGACTATTTTCCAGTGTAGAACATACAATACATTAAAGCAACATCCTGAAGCCAGGCATATCAGTAGCACAAGTGAAAGTAAACAAGTTATTCTTTGTTAAAGTTAAAAAAAGCAATACAGGCCAATCTCCAACTCTTTAATTTAATTTCTGCTTTATATAAGTTGTTCGTTTACCTGCTAATGGCTTGTTCCTCATCTGTTATTCCAGTCTCCCTGAATGCCCTGTTTGATTCCTCCAAACTCAAGGCAATTGCCCTCTGAAGATCATCTTTATCATCTCCAGTGAGATCAATCACATCTGAAAAGCAAAACTATCTTTCTCAAAATTAAAAGTGAAACAGAATGAAAGGCAAGTCTTACTGTAGAGGAGAGAGAGCCCACGTGGATTGCTGAGCGCCATTCCAGTCCACCCCTCCTGCGCCCTGCGCTCTTCCAACCACTAACCCTGCTAACAGCTCCCTTCCACCTCCAAGCCAGATAAAAACCTCAGCAGCTTGCTCTTGCTAAGATATGACAGGCAATAGTCTTCCTTCCTCCTAATGATCTTAAGTTTCACAAAGCTATGGGACAAATTTAGGAATCCATGGTTTCTGAAAGCCCTCTTAAAGCAATGCACTTGAATGTATTACTTCAGCTACCATAATCAGTTGCTTCCAGGGAACACATCATGAAGACAACCTTCTCTTAAAAAGGATACCTTAACCAAGCATAGTTGTTTTTCCCTCCTCATGAAGGAACGCATGCGGAGTTTTCCCAAAACAGCCCCGAATTCTACAAGTATTTCTGTGCACTGGTGAGCCAAATACTTTCACACAGTTTCATGACATGTGGGAGAGCTCCTTACTTAAAACCTAACTATTTTCTATCCTGTCTGTGCGTTCCTTTTCTGAAGGTATTTAAATCCAATTTCTGTCTACTGGAAGTATCCCATCTCAACAGAAGAAGTAAGAAAACAAATACTGAAGTCAAAATGAGGATCCATACTTGGACATGTGGGGAATGCTGGATGGGCTACCAACTGGGTAATGAAGTAGAAAAACAACCCTACTTCTGCCTTCCTCTCCAGCTCCCATTATCTAAAGAATGAAATACTAACATCCCCCCATAAACCTCCCTGTTTCCTGAGGGTAGTGACAGCACTCCCCCTCCCGAGTAAGGAGGGATTTCACTACCCACATCACACCGTGACACCAATTATCCCCCCGTTGGGCACAGCCATACTTTCAGAGCAGCCAGGGCCAACAGGAATGTCCATCAACTGCCCGAGACCTTCAGAAAAAACAAGGTCATTGGTTATCATGATTTCAAGGGCCAAAAGTCTCAATTTGCAAGTCAGCCAGACAGAGAGAGAGGGGAAAGTGCAAGCAGACTTTTATTAGACAGACACACACTCGGAGCACTGGCTGCTTTTAGTCTCCCTCCTCCAAGGCCAAAGTTTACCCAAAGAGCTATGAAAGGGACTTCCCTCCAGCCTGGAGTTTGGACATTAAAAGCTAAAAGATTCTGGGAGAAAGAGATACAGGTTCAAAACTGATGATTGCTCACAAAAAGAGAGATGAGCAGCTTGTCTGCATTTCTCCTTTCACAGGCCAGCTCAATTACTCATACCCAAAGAGCTTCTCCGTCTAGCTTCTGACTTTTCTCCTGGATGGGCTGACTCGCTGTAGAGACAGCTTCCCCCATTTCCCTGGGCTTACTTGTCTGTGACATTTCTCATTGGATCGAAATAGAACACTGAACTTACGATACAAATATCATTGCCATAGCTGTGTATGAACAGAAAATGGGATGACTTGTCCTCACAGAACGCTGAAACCGAAGAGAAGTTGTAAAAGAAACTTAGCTGTTAACACCAGCATCTTCAAAAACTAGTTTTCAGCTCAGCCCTGTTTCCCCCAAATAAAGATAGCTGAATTTCTATTTTATTTAGTGAGCCTTTAAAGGAAGCAGTCTTACCTGCAAAGTAAACTGGGCAAATTTTCATGATCTGGAAGTATGGAAAAAACAGTATGACCACAAAAGCACTTCATAATTTTATTCTCATGTCTTTTATATCAGCTCAGATCTTCCAGCATATCAGAAGGATACTTAACTTAGATGCCTGAAATTCTCCTTCAGAAGTACTAAAGCAATTACAAGAACCACCAGCAGAAGTCTCACCCAGAGGAGTTTTGCTACATGAACTGCCATGTTGAGAACAATGTAATTCGGGCTAAAATAATACGTCAGCCTGGGTCACATGCAAGCATGACTCTGTTCTACAGCCTGAGAGCAAGAGAAAGGCTAGAAAGGTCGAGAGCGATGAGAGGATCCCGTGACCACACACACTACCTCTAAAATGTGGTGCTTACGTTGTATTTTCTACCCATTTGCAGGTAGTCACACACAAGCACCTCAATCTCCACTAGAGACAAGCCATTTTTCTGAAAGTAGTAGTAATAGTGGTCACAACTGAAGATGGAGTAAGCCTCAATCCAGCAGCCACACATGCTGATGGAGAAGTACGGGATTACTCCGATCACTTACTTACAGAGCGGAATATTCCTTTAGCTAGTCTCTAGTCAGGTAAGAGTGATGAAATTCTTATACAACAATAAAGAAGAAAGTTAGATTAAGAAGTAAGCTCCTTTATATGGGGAGTACTTTTCAGAAAAGAACTCATAACCTAGCTGAAAACTATGTGGTTAACAAAAGCTCCCACTGTTATACCCCCCCCCGCAAAAAAAAGTCATCCATCAAGGTCAGCTGCAACTCACTTTCATTAAATTATTCAACTTCTTTGCACCTTCTTAGCTCCTTAATCTTTATTAATCTATACCACCACCCTATGTGTTCAGAAGTTTATTACCATTCATATTACCAGTGATTACATCGCTTTAATATTAAAACCCCAAATCCTTGACTTCTGCTTGGTTTCAGAAAGCAGATCAACACAACGGTTTCCTTTGGCATGCAAGAGTTTTGGAGCAGACAATACAGGATTCTCTTTAGAAATGTTGTTTTCACATATACATTGTTCCTGATCTGCATGAAAAAAGACAATACAGTGAAGACCTGCTGCCAGATACTACCACCACATGTGAGTGGTGCAATCGATTTATGTCACAGAGGGTTTACCTAGCGTAACATGTCAGAAAAATACATTTCTAAATATCAGCTGATCCTTGGTAACCTACTCCATGCAAGCCTTTAGTTTGTAGCAAATGTAAACTAAAAATGTTTTGGATATTTAAGCTAATGTATTTTAGCTCACATTTGCTGTACTTGGAGCAGGTCCAAGGTCTTTTTCAGCATCCCCGCTGACAAACTCATTAAGCTGCAACAGTTCACGTATGACTTGAATCCTAAATCAGAGGATTACAAAGAGGAAATATCAATAGAAGTCATACAGAAGGGGAACAGTCTGAGACTAAACTCTTTTTTAAAAAAATAAATAAATAAAAATCACCTTGTCTGCACAGTTTGCATTCCTGTCAGTTGGTTATAAATTATACAAATGCACATATACTACATGAAATTCATGCAGGTGTTTTGTTTTGTTTTAAAATATCTTGATGTTTTGTAAATTCTTACATGGGGATTTTTTTTTTTTTAGTGAAAAGATGTCCAATTTTCAAGCAGTTATTCTACAAGTATGATCACTTTGCCTCCTCTCACAATCATTAATAAATTCAACATTAACCTACTTTTAAAACACTTATTTTACTTCAATTTTAGTGTTAATGCAAACCTGTGACTGTTTATTTTATAGCAATTAGTAGTGGAATTCATTCATGAAACTGATCTACGGAAGTTTCCTATCTGTTCAACTGATTTCTGCGTTCAAGGTCTGAGTTTGAAGAAAAAAAGAAAAAGCTGACTTCTACCCAAAGTATTTATCAGACACAAATGAGTTTCCTGTGATAGGCTGAGGGATGCATCTCATAAAGGAATTAAGAATAATGCCACTTCTCCAAATTTATAGTTACCTGACTTTAATTTACATATACCAATTTTGTAATATTCCTCATTTAGGCCACAGAATGCTTTAGTTCTCACTGACTCATCCTCATAAAGATACTTATTGTATATCACATAGCCTTAGAAAATGCAAACGTTCTTAGCTAAGCCATGGCTACTAAACAAACAAAAAAGTTTGCTTCTGAAAAAATTCTTCATGAACAAAGAAACTGCTCATCAAAACAGTCTGGCTTAGTGCATTCATGATGTTTATTCAACTAAAATTAACATGCAGAATTATTCAACTGTTTTACTAAGAAATGTATTTTTTGTTTACAACATTATTATATAACAACATGTGCTTCTGGTACATAAGATCCAGAGAGTTCGACATGATTTGTAATTCTACAACGCAATTTTAAGTTGTATATTGATATTTGTTACAAATATGCTAGTGTATATATAGTAAATGCACACACTATATCTATCTATCTATATCTTCTTTCTTTTCTAAAAAACCTTATCTGTTTACTTAGGAAGTTTCTATCACCATTTAAATAAATGGTTCTTACTTGGTAAGTGCCTAGGTCATTAAAATAATTACTGTGTTATTGACTTGTTACTTATACCAAGAGGAGGCAGAGAGTAGGAACTTCAAACTTAAGTAGGCTGGGAAACTCAGCATGAGGGACAGATCTGAAGTAGCATTTGAACCCAGAGACAGGCAATAAACAACCACAGTGATGCAACCGCTGGCACAGGGAGAGGAAAATGAAGGGGCAGGCCTGATGGGTTCAATGGACAGGTGCCAAGTATGGAAATCCAGCAGCAAGACTTCAATTTCAACACACCAACAACATAAAAAGAGGAAAAAAAAAGAAAGAAAAAATGAAGTTGAAACTACATCAGTTTTTTTTATCACAAGCAGAGCTAAGCAAGATCCTATATTCTACGTGACATTAAACGTCATGATGGTCTTGAGTTCCTACATTAAAAGGCATTTAATTGGCTGTATATGCCAATTTTGTTTAAAACTGGATGGGGAAAGAATACACAGGATCTCAGCAGCTGCCTAGCCAACCCGAACAGCTCTATTGATGAAAGAGCTAGCAAATGTTAGCCACCACTATCTTACAGGAACTTCCTCATCTCAGCTGCATTTACACTGTCCTAGGATGATAACACCTTAAAACTGATGATTCTCACACTGACAAGGATGGGAAGGAAAGAGGTAGTCACGGAACAAAGGAACAAGTGAATCTGTAAGATAAAAGGAGGACCTCAAGGTACAAGACTCCTGACGTTTTGAAGCAGGGATCCTGCCATACCAAGCTGGAGACACTCCCAGGAACCTGGATGGAGATGACACAAATAATCCCTGAAATAGAAGGAAACGTCATGAAGACACATAGCAATATCCAAGTTAGGTAAGGTGACAGAAGAAACTAGTGTCAAATTCTACTCACAGAAACAGTAAAATGCACAGCTGTAGAATGAGAACTGACCAGGACTTGTGCCAAGAAGTATCTAGAAGCTACAGCTGATTCATGTTCTACCTGCAATTCACATCATCACAGCGTTGAAGAAAATATCAAGTGTTACACTGAGGTATATTGTCAGAGTACTACATGGACATTTATGGAGATTCACCCATTTTTCTTAAGAACTCAGCTGAAGTCTCGGTTATTGTTTTGAATGCCACAGTTCACGAAAAAGGCAGAACAATTAGAGAAGGTCCAGAAGAGAGAAAAATTGACAATAGGTATAGGAAATACATCCAAAGACTTGGAAAGAATTTGGGTTGTTTAGTTTAGAGCTGAGAAAACTCTGAGGGGACATTATGATACACTGTCTTCAAGCATGCAACCCTCCATCTAAGACAAAAGGAATGAAGTGTACTATAATCCTCATAGGGGATAGCACAAAGAATAAAAGACTTAACCTGAAGCAAGAGGGATTTAGGCGAGACATTAGGAGTCTAAAAGTAAGGACAGTGAAGCACCAAAACAAATTACTCTATAAACTTTTCAGAGTTTCTAGAACAGAAGGGTTTTTAAGAAAAATGTTATATAGACATCACTTAGGGAGGTTTTAGGTGCAGTCAAGTCTACCTCATTGAAAAGGGTTGATTGAATGACTCTTGAAACCTATGCAAAGGCTCAAACTCTAGGAACAGGAAGATATAAAAGCCAGATCTCCAGAAGCAATGAAGTCTACAACCCTCAAGCTGGTGTGCATGGTATTTTATAGTTACGTTGTACTATGCCCTTATAAAAGGGCTTGAAATCTTTTGTCTTGGCTGTGGAATGTGCAATTGCAAAGACTGATAATTCAGTTTTTGTGAAAAAGAATTTTGAGTTTTCAAAAGAAGGGAGGGAGAGAATTTGTCTTGAGAGCTATTTCATTTGAAGACAATACATCTTCTAAAACATGTCTTCTCTTCATTCTGCTGCTTCCTTTAACCCTGGGTTCTGCAAGTTTCTCAAATAACGAGAAGGAAATGGATAAATGCTTAGCAATGCAATAGTTCTATGGTGCAGCCATAGATGAAAATACACTGAATTACTGCAAATGGAAAAAAAAAAAAGGTTTCTAGAGAAATCAATAAAGTGAGAACATTGGAAAGCAGTACTAAACAACTTTGTTTATTTTTGCTTTAAGTGCAGCGCCTAGCATTCATGCTACTAAGCAGAACATTAAAGTGATCTTGGATTAAAAGGAGTTCACTTGTACATTGCAACCCTAATACTAAAGCACTTTCTGCTCACTAACAGATTGCAGGAAGGAAAGGAAAAAACCACCTTCGCAAACGGATCAGATAAAGCATGCATCACTCTTGACATGAAAAAGCTACACTTACAGGTGCTTGCACATACCATTTTGAACAGGCAAAAAGGCAAGCGTTATGAGTAACACTGTGCAAGTCAGCCTTTGCTTTTAAAGATGGAGTAAATTTTATGCAAACTCAGTATTTTTGCAGCTGCTGAAGTGTTGCATTTGCTAATAAGAGAAATGAGGTTTCCTTATACCTCTTAACATACAGAATGCAACTCTCAAACAGCTGAATGACCACTGCCACTTTTGGAAGAGTCAGTGCACAATCCAGGCTAACCACTGATTGTTAAGGTATGACTTCCTGTTATATACATTTTTATTTTACCCCTTAACTAAGTAACCATTTCAAAGAAATGTAGTCAGTCAAGCTCGCAGAATACATGTGATACACCTTTATGAAAGGCATACATTCAAAGCCTTTGTAAGTGGCTGGAGTTTTTCTGCGGCATCAAAGACAGTTCTGATATTTATCTATAACTCCCTCTCATCCCCAGTTTGGATGACTTAACTTGGTGAGACCGTGAAGCTCAGTGACTCATAACATCGTAAGTTCCAAACGCACAGAGGTAGTTAAGCAGTAAGGAACAGTAAGGGCGAGTTATAATTATCTTCATGTAATTATACCTACGTGGGATAGTAAAAGGGAGTCAAATTTGAAAGGCAAGATACTGTCAGCAACTCAGCATGGTTACTGAGAAGCGCTAATAACATTCTTTGCAGAAGGGAATGTTGATGGTTGGAGCTATCATTACTGAATATGTTTTCCATCTATGCCCACCCTTCCATCCTCTTCTCCCAGGTCATCCAATGTCTTTCACCACGCTCCCTTACATGACAGTACTTACCAATGCAGGGCTCTGAACCTTGTCCATTTTAAGTGTACTGCATTTTTAAAATTCATAATCAAAATAATTACAGACAAGCAGATCCCAACAAAAAGAACTGTAGGGTTCTTGCAAGAAGCTTTCACTAGATCTCTACAGACTGGGGGGGGGGTCTATGATCAGAGATTGGTTTAGACTTTTGTCCTGCTGCAGGTGTTTAGTTCTTGCCCCATGAGTCCTCCAACATGAAGGAAAGTTGGCCAAGATGCCTTTATCTCATAACATGTTTTCAGTCTAACTAAAACAAAGGCTGGCAAAGGGCTCTCACCTTTGTTGCCAGTGAGTACCTGACCAGACACTGAAGATGCGACAAAAAAAAGTCCGCCTGCTTTTTCCACAGCAGTTGGCGCTTCCTGAGTACTGACTTGCGGCACTATGTAACTGTAAGGAATCTGGGTCTGCCTTCAGCCCTCCACAAAAGAGGAGAGAATCCTGAAATTCAGCTTGGAATGTGCAACTCAAGACTGACTCCTTTTAGATTGACCATCAGTCATGGGTAATATAGACTCTGCAGGCTTGACTCTTCCCTCTCGTATCCCTTGTCACCTCATATTTTCAATAAGGTTGCATAACACAGTAAGTGACAGCAAAACTAAACACTTTATTAATGGGATTGCTAATAAATCTAAACACAGATTCAAGAGAATCCAGCTTACTATTCCACTGCCATAGATGATCTTCAGTACTGGAGACTATGACAACAGTAGTAAGTTTGTTGAAAATAGTCTCCATTTCCTCAATGTCAATTTTCTGACATTGAAAATTAAATACATGTGGGGTTTTGTGTGTGTTTTCTTTCCAAAGGAGGGAAAAGAAAAAGAAAAAACACAAAAAAACAGAACTACTTCCCACAACTTAGTGGGGGAATAATACAACTACCTATAATGCACTCAGGGCATTTTATACAGGGTTGCTAGTAATACCAAGGATTAAAATGCAGTTTTCAGCTCTAAGATGTTGGGAATAAACTCATCTCTAATTTAAAAAAAAAAAAAGTTTCGCGTCGTCTCCTCGGAGAAGGGCCGCCAGCTCGCTGAGCCCCTGGGTGAGTCGGGGGGGGGGGGGGGGGGCGGAGCAAATCCTACTGTGGGTGAAGCTAAAGAATTCTACTCATTTAATAAAAGCTACATAGATGTACTACATATATGGTCAAAGGATCAATATGTAATTAATACATCTATGTTTAGAATGTTGGAATGTAAATACAGTATCAAGAAACTCAGATTTTACAGAAATCAATTCAACTACAAAACTTCCTTTGACATTTTCTTTCATGTTATTTCCTCATGTTTATTTGCAGAACACATTTAACACGTTTAACACATTTAACACATTTGTTCCCCCCATAAAAATAACTATGCACTTAAGCAAAGGAATAGAACCTGCAAGGCTCAGAGAAAGAGAGTTTGTGGGAGGTCCTGCATCAACTAAATAAAATTGTTTAAAATTAAGTATATTTAATGTTAATTTCACATATAAAATACCTAATTTTTTCCTACAAAATGCACACCTAACCTCTCACTTCTCCCTTTGGGAAAGTCATCCCTGTCAGGGAGAAGCTACTCTTAATAAGCTTTAGCATATTCAGACAGACATTCACAGACTCTTCTCCGATTTTATTTTATTTTGATGGAAGAGTACCCAGCTTTCACCTTTAATTATTTACTGCATGACCCCAAAATAAAGCCTGTAATAGGGGGGAAAAGAAAAGGAAAAAAACCATTGAAAACCCAGTTATTTGCCCTCTGATTACTACCATACATACATGTAAAGGTAATGCTTAAAGGATAGCTCAAATAAAATAAAGATACACTGAAATAAGGAAAGAAAGAATACGTAATAATCTAAGAATCGTTAAGTAAGAATTGTCAGCAGATTAACAGTCATCTTACGGGCAAGTTTTTAGTTTCCTTGCCTTTAAACTAAACTTATGAAAAGAAAAAATACCTACTGGTGTCTGCTTGGCTGCCCACGCTGATGTATCTGTCATTTCCAGGAAGGGCTGTTTGATAGTAAGTTGCCTCCTCTAGCTGGGGAACCTTGGCGTTCTTCGCAGTGAGGAAAGCCACAGCCAACTCCAGATTACCATTGCTGTCCTTTAAGCACCAACAAAATAGGAAGTGAGAGTCCCCTCACCCTTTTTTAATTTTTCTTAACAGCAAAGGACGACATTACAAGCAACTTATAAGATCAATGACACATTGTATTTTCAGGTGAAATATTGATTAGAAAAGAAAGTTTCCAAACTTGACACATTCTGCATACTTCGCTATTTTTAATAAAAATTAAGATAAAACATCTTCTAAAAATTTACTTTGGTAGAATTCCACTTATTTCAGAAAAAAATTAAAGGTCTTGTAGCGTAGGTCAACCCCTCAACAAGCATAATTAGCACACTCTCACGGACTTCAACAGCAGTCAGCTGAATTCTTCTGAAAATCTACCATTTCATTTTTAAAGCCAGAAATACTGGCTTTTGAGGGGCAGTTGTGTACATGATTTATGCTGCAGCTGAAGCAACAACTATATATATATATACATACACACAAAATTTAAATTCACTAAATCCTCATTTACCATGTATAAATGGCTAAAAAGCTCTGCCTGAGGGAGACAAGGCTTTTTATTTTATTTGTATGTATATTTGGGGAAACAGAACACAGAGACCTGCCAGTCTTTACTTGCATCAAAGAACTCTTCTGGGCTGTGAAAGAATTTACAATGGTTGAAAAAACAGTGAAACAATAGCAAATTAGCAACAGGTGGCAAGTTCAAGGAGAGTTCTTCGTTCTACATACTGAACAGGACCTGTCCATGATAGAAAGCTTAACTACATCTTGACAAGAAAACAACACTTAACTCATCAGGAGTTGACCAGCTGTAGTAGCACCAAGGTATCTCAAAACACTTTAGCCAAAGGTTAAGGGCAAGTCATACCATTCCTGTCTTTTCATTTTTCAACACCAGATTAATTTTTATGTCAGTACCAAAACAGATCAAGATTCCCTCTAAAGTGAACAAGCCATCATGATGAGCTTTTTTTCCCTGAAATAAATCTAAAAAGTATTCAAGCTGGGAATGGAAGGGAAGGAAGACTAGAGTAAGAAAGCGTGGGGTTTATGGCTTTCACAGGCAGTTAAGATGTATACATTCAGCTCCAAGTCAGACACATCCATCTTACCTTCAGTGCCTGTTGTAGTACCTGGATGTCATTGATACCAGTGATCTCCCTCAGCTGATTTAAAAATGTTTGCTGGTGCTAAAAACAAAAACAGATCATCAAGATAAGAGCTAAATAACAGCAAAACCAATTACTTACAAGAGTATGCTTCTCTACAAACATTAAAAGTATCTCCATATAAGCTTTATGCACTACAAAGGGAGCCTTTGTTATTCAAGTTTGTCTTAGTTTCTGCAACTTGGGCACTTTTAATTCTCAAATGTAATGTTTTTGGTTGGTTGGTTTTGATGTTTTAAAAAAAAAAAAATTGATGATGGGTGAGCTTATGCAACACGGGTTTAAGGAGCCTATATAAAGCCACAACTGGCCCTCCTAAACAAATAAAACTCCATAGCTTGGTTTTCAAAGGCAGCAGGGGAAATAGCTGACTGAACTCCCATCAAAACCAGCTTCTTCAACTCCCAATTATTCTCAATCCCACTATTTCCTTAACATACACAATTATCAGCCATTCCTACCTCAAAACTAAGAAATTAATCCTTACTGATCATTTAGGTGTTTTAAGAGAAGTACTATAAGAATATCCACACAAAACAGGGTTTCTCGAGACTAAAGCAAAACCTTAGGAATCCGTCTTAACCACCTTCCTAGACCAGTTGAATCCAACCCTCCCAAATCACAACATCAGTCAGCATCTATGACTGAGTTTCAAATAACACTTGGAGTTAGAAAAGAGTAAGAGGTTCCGGGTCTCTTAAATATTCAATTCATATGAATTTTGAGGCTTTTTTTTTTTTAATAAAAAATCTGGTCCCACTCCTGTTTAGAGACAACAGACACCTCCCTCCACTCATGCTCAGGTATCACGTCACAGAAGCAAAAAGCAGGCACTAGATGGGAACAATCCTTGAACTCCAGTTAACCATTAAAACCATTAAGACAGAGGTCTGACCATTGTTTCATACTAACATACTAATTCCTTTCTTCCTTTAGCAGATGGGAAAAGGAGAAAAGCTTGGTGGTATTTGCAAGTGGTTTTTCTTTTTTATTGTTTGCCCACCACATCCTGAACTCAAAACAATAATTTCATCTATAAGAGACAAGATTTTGTGAAGTATAGGGTTTTGTCTGCTAGACAAAAAGCATATTTCCTACCAGTGACAAATAAACGTTCTCATGTTAATCTCCAAATTCAATTAAAAAAACCACAACTATAATTGTCTTGCGGCTACTTATAAAATACTTTTCTTTAAAACAAATTATTTGTAATCAAATATTCAAATACCCTTATTCTCTCCTTATCACAGCTTTGTGTAGAAGAGGAAATTAAGAGCTGCATGAATGCTGAATTCCCCAGTGTGAAATTAACCTGGCAGGCACTACTTCATACCCTAATAAGTTGAAATAGAAGGCGTCTAGTTCAAGATGTTTATGAATTATATACACAATCTTCCCTTTATTTATGATCCTAAGGGACACTGCTAACAAACCAATTTGCCTTTTTTTTTTCCTTTTCTTTTTAAAAACCCTGCTATTGGCACAAGAAAAGTGAAGTGATGCAGGAAAACAAACTCCCACTCTATCCCCATCCCTCACCCCCTCATTTGTTTACTCTGTGCATTTCATAGCACTGTACAAAGGCAGGACTTGTTTCCCCTATAAAGTTGCTTTCCTGCCCCTCAGTCTGGCAATAAGCGGCGAAAAGAAATAGAGTATTTGGGAAAAGTAATTACAACAGCATTAAAACTGGCAGGAGCAATTCAAGAGCAGTGCATGGCAACAAAATGGATTTCTTTTTGTATTTGCTACCAACGTGATGGTTAATAAAATGGAAAATAGTTTCACTATAAATTATTATGACAAGTTATAACAGATTTCTGTATCTTCCACAATATACACAACACTTGGAAAGGCTGACTGGAGGATATTCATTGTTCACAGAGATTGGGAAAATACAGAAGAGACAGTTTACTAACAAACAATCTCTTAGCAGTTCAAAATTTTGCCTTTTAATTTATGAGCACAGCTGCAACTTATAAACCTAGACATCTGTGGTTTATATCCAGATTTCAGTATTCCGGTGTAAAGCTGTGGTTCGAGGCCCCCTTCCCAAGGACATACACATTTAACAGATCAGAACCAGACCTAGAGATGTTCCTTTCTCATCAAGAGATTATTTAAGTACTTAAATATACTTTTCTTTTTTTTTTTTTTTTTTTATGAAGGCCAAGAGTTTAAGTCACTCAGCTCCAAAATTTCTAACTGGCAATTAAGTGAACAACACAGAGAATCCATAAGAATCCTAGTTACAAGTGACAGAAATTAAGAGGAAAATTAACAGTTATCCTGAATACCTCAAATGGAGCTAAACTGCTTTGGGACCACAAACACCTGATTTATACATTACTGGCTTTTCAGGTAAATGTGGACAAGCTGCCATTAATCTCTAATTGAGTTATTTCAAATCACACAGAAGTTAAAGAATGACAATGCACTTCCCTTCCTAGAAGGAGGAGGAAAAAGGTAAAAACAAAGCAACAACAAAAAAGTATAATTTAAAGTTGTTTCCACCTGATCAATGTGTTCTCTTAATACCTTCTAATAGAACAGGTCTTCAGAAACAATTCTGAAACTGCATACGGCACCTAAAAACTCCTTAATGTGGCATTAGACTGGTGGCCTTCTCTTCCAGGCATTCACCGCTCTCCCCTCATCCTCTCAAATCTGACGTAACTGCACCATCTTTACTGTGTACAGACCTTTCTTGCAACTGCATGTTTAACCGCCATTATTCTCCTTTACTATTAAATTGACAATATGTTATCACCCATGAAACTGTATTAATGCCGGTAATTCTATTTCTTTTCATTACAAATGACAGTGCAAACCCTTTTCTCATTCGTTAATCAGAGGACGAGATCAAATTTTCTTTTTGTTTTTCTTTTCACTTAAGAAATTTAAGAAACACAATTGTACTCATATTCAGAGAGCTGGGATTACTTCATTTTGATGTAACTTTAATTTAGTGCATCTGCACTAGACTGCCAAAGTCAAAACGGGTGAAGCTTATTTGTTTTGAATTATAGTCTTTTAGTACATGCTATTGTGGCATATAGGATGATTTTTAGGAAGATTTTATTTTATTATTACCCATGACTGAAGTCTGGACATCAATTTCTAATGCAACTGCTAAACAATTAAGTCTCTTCTGTATTGTAACTGATATTGAATAGAATACTTAGGACAGACTTCTACACACAAAGCGAGCCACCCTCCTTACTCCTATTAATACTCCGCCCAATTACATCTACCCTAGAAGCTTTACCCCTCCTGGAGCCTGGGCTATCTTGAGTTGAAGTGACTGTAGCATATAGACCCTCAAACATCCACAAACACTAATGTAGCTATTCTAAACAATTATGATCATAATTCACTGAAAGGCTTACCAAAAATACTCAAAATTAAGCTCACACCACTAAAGCAAAGCTAAAAAATGAAGCCAGAGGCCTACAAGTATTTACAAATGTCTGAAGCATCTACACTAATATATGTTAATTAAATCAGGTCAGCGAGGGAGATTCAGAACACAACTAGCAGTCCTAACATAAAGAAGTTGTGTCCTTTTTTCAACACAGCTCTTCCCTGATTCCCTGTTTTTCCCAACCTTGCATTAGTAGAGGTTCAAATTCTGAATTATAACTCACTGCACTTTAATTCAATTTAATAAGCAACCTCTCTCTTCAAATGCAGATCCAAAGAGGTTATTCCAACAGAACCAGGTGCAGCTACTGGTGCAAAGAAACCCACTTCAGTTCTTTCAAAGCTTATTTGCCTGTACCCACTTCTGTTTGCCATCCTTTCCTCAAGTTTACACAACAGATTCCATAGTTTACCTACAGCACAGATCCTCCAGTTTAGTGAGTCAATACTCCACGTTTATCTGCAGTGTACATGCACCACCAAATGTGTTACGTTATACATGCACACACATATATAACATATACACACATATACTCCATGTAGCTTGAATTGCATTTGACTCAACTCTAAAAAGGCTCCAGGACTTGATCTACGACACCAGACTCTGCTGGTGCAAGTGCTGCAGGACAACCCAAATCCCTGGCCAGGCGAAGGAGATGGTCCGCTGATGCTTTAGCTGCCCTAAGATCAGCTGCTCACACCCCTCAGTCCCACCGCATCATGCGGCAATCAGTTCCCCAGGGCTTTCATCCACGAGCTATTCCCAGCCTTCCCCCTTCCTCTGGTTCCCCGAGGTATGCAGCACGTATCTCCAGGCTTTCAGCTTTTGGAAGATTTTAACTAACAGGAAGTTCTCCCATTTTCCTGGACGGAAGCCAAATTTGTATATTAGGAATGCATGTCCTTATTTCCAATTCTTTCCTTTTTCAGACATCCCTCCCCTCCTCTCAGGAAATGCCCAATTAAGATTATCTGGTTTATAACCTCACACAATAGCATACTCAGTAGCTGTGCCAGCACTAGTGAAGCAGAAAAGGATCTACACTATTATCTGCTTAGGGAGATACTGTGCCCAAGTTAGTTCCACAACAGTACTGTAAACTCTGATAACTTATCAAAATCAGAGCAAAAAGCTAAATTACACACATGCTTTTTTGGACAAGGTAAGTCTCATAAGTTGACTAATTCTGAATTATACTGCAGATAAATTTGGGGGAAAAAAATTAGCCACCTTTTAATCTTTTTATTTTCTCATTTCTGTAGCTTCTGAAGTACATGTAAGCTTTGGCTTTATTCATGGCAACATCCAAATATTTGTATTTGCAACACAAGCACTTTCAGACTTAGAAGATAAAACAACCCTCTTCAGTTTCCAAGCACAGAAAAAGTCGTACATTTAGTAATAAATGAGATGATCCAACCATTACCAGGAGAAAACAGGGCCTACTGCCTCACTACGCAGTTCAGTTAAATAGTACATAATGAAAATGAACTATGGCAATCCCTTCCTTCAAGGAATGAAAAATTGTACTAGAGACAAAAAGAAAGAGGAGGGAAAATGCAAATGCCGAGAAGAGCATCTTGACTCAGTCCCTCCG